CTTTATGGTGTATGTATGCGCATTGAACGTGAGAGCATCAGTCAGCGCCGCCTGTTGCCATTACGGCAAGTGTGGGACACGCATTTTTTACCTATTGTCATTTTTTGCCATTTTTGCCCATCTCCACATTTACATTCCGATTACTTCTAATAATGTCTCATATACTTGGCATAATTATCTGCCAGTTCTCATTAATATTGTTTCTAACAAAGAAATTGTGCCCTTAGGTTTAACTTTCTTTCCTTCATTCATAACGGTTGTCTCATTCTGCCAGACTTCATGCCTTCAGGTGGTATGCGAGGGATTATTAGTCACCTGCCAGCTTGTAATAAGATCACATGCTACGTGACACCAATAGGCAGAAAATGTGTGTCCCACACTCGCCACAATAGCAACAGGTGGTGCTGACTGACGCTCCCACTTTCAATTCACACATATACCCAATAAAGTATATGTCTACCCAACAATAAAGGACATGTATAACCGATGCGTTATTCGAAGGTCGCAGGTTTGGTTCCTGCCCACGGTAAGGTATCTTTTCATTCACTTTTTTTTTTACATTTATATTCCAATTACTTCTAATAATATCCTCGACACTTTCTTGGCATAATTGTTCAATACAAGTTCTTCAAGCTCACCTAGGCGTTTTTCAATAACCTCCGAAATACCATCTAACCATATTGTGCATGGGTGGCCTCATTTTCTCTTCTACATTGGCTAGCATTTATTTTCTCAACATACAACTGCTAGCTCGCATGACATGACCAAAACAAGACAGTTTTAGCTTCATTACCTTTGCTTTAAGCAAATATTCACTTTGGTCTTACTTATGACTGCAATATTTGTTCATTTGGCAGTCCATGAAATGTTCAGAACTGTACCAGTGCCACAGCTTAAAAAAATCAAGGTTTTTTTTCTTTTGTATTTCTATGAGGTCCACAACTTACACCCATACATTACTACGTAAAAAACCCAGGCACTTAACCATATGAGTTTTAGTTTTGTGGTTGGACATCTTTTCATTTTATAACATATAAAAGTTCGGCCATTATTTTCTTCAGTTGAACTATTCGTTGGTGTATTTTCTTTGTGGAGCTACTGTCCGATTCTATTCAGAATCTTGGGGAAAACAGCGTTTACAGCATCTATTAAATTGCTTTGTCTGAGTGCATTGAAGTTTACCAGTTGTCATGACTAGTCTTGCCTATGCTTAGAAAAAATCAGCTGTCTCATTTTCTTTTGCCTTCAGATTAAATGTTCTTAAGCCTTGTTTGCATCCTGCTACTGGTGTCTGTACATTGCAAGTCAGTTACTTTTGTTCCTCCATTTTTCACTCGTATATGCTATTGTTCAAAGTCACAGTTTCTGGGTACATGTATAAGTTAAATAAATGTATAGTAAAAAGATACAACCATGCCTGACTTCTTGAAACCTGAAACAATCCATTTTACCAACATTTTCCCCAACTATCCCATTTTGCTTGGGGCATAGGCCCTCACTAGAATTTTGAGGGGTTTGGAAGGGCCCATTTTCCTAACATATTTCTAGAGCTTAAGATGGTAAGCATAGTGAAAAGCGTTGGTATAGTAATCAACAAAGTAACAATACAAAAGCTTTCGGTATTCATTGCAAGTTTCTATCGACAATCTTATATTTGTAACTTAGTCTGTCGTACGACACCTTTTTCGGAAATATTTCGCTCCACGTATGGTTTTATCATATGGTTCTATCTGTTATGTGTGGATCCCTTGAGGTGGCTGGGCTGTTTATGCTGTCATCGTTTTATGTTGTCATAGCTTGGCATAACGTGGGAAAACCATACATAGCATAGCTAATTCAGTGCAGGCTCTGGCTAAAGTTTAGTTTTCCTCATTTTGTTCTTAGTGTACCTTGATGATGATAGAAATCAAGAGAAACAGAAAAAACTAGAAAGAAGAAAAAGGGGAGTAGAAAGGAACCAAAGGGAAACAAAGAAGGCTGCCCAACTTTGCACTTCTTTCAGGCTTGGCACCGTTAGTGCAAGCCGCTTTGATTTTTTCTGGTGGTTCAACAGCTTGAGCATTTTTCACGTTGCCCTTTTTATGCATTTGGGATAAAGAGAAGTCTCTTCGAATCTCTTGGCCATTGTGGGGCCTTCCAAACTCGTTGACAAAGTGGCATAAATTTGGAACAATCACTAGGGGCGATGCACATCTTGCGATTGTGGCCCTTCTGTTCTCCTTAAACAAGCTTTTATTTTCAAGTATATAAAAATTAAAACCATGCTTCAAATAGAAAAAAGGAAGATGGAGTATGTGCCTCGCACGTGTGTCGGGGGGCTTAAACTAACACCACTGGGCAGCCTTTTTAGCATGTTTCTAGTTAATGTGCCATTCAGAGTAAACCATCAAATGAAAATAGTCTGACTGTTCGATGTAACGCATTAAGGTACTGCTTTTCAAGTTTAGTCCGATTCCTCATTCTCCATACCTGTAATGACGATTTACTTCTGGAAATATTCTCGTGAAGCATGTTTATCTTCCCCAGTGATTGGCTTCTTTAATAATGCTGTCATGATGTGGGGAGCAATCGTATTCATATTTCATTGTGAAAGGATTGCAATAACACATCGGCATAAATAACGGTAGATGATTGGGATTCTTTGTTTACTTTACATTTCAAAGTGCAGCATCTTAAACATATGCGACACTTCAGAAGTAAATCATAGCGTTTCCGGAAGCTCCTGCTCTCGATTCCTTTTAGACCAATAACAGGTTTCATTTTCGTACTCCGTTTCTTCTCTTTGGAAGAACTTCAGATTTCGGAGCCTATTTTTCAGCGAGTGTGCAATGCTTAGCTGTAAAGCAACTCAAATATGATGTTGGAAAGCTAAATCTCGAGGGGGGGGAGGGGGGCATTTGCAAGAGGTGCCGGCCAGCGACTTGAACACAAAGGGATCAGGACCCCCCTGATCCCTCCCCCCCAATTTATGCCACTGCATAGTTAAGTGATGAGCTTGATGGATTAGAGTCTGAGTTACTTAAGATGTTCTACAGGGATGATGTTTGGCCCACTTGTTTTACCAAGAGATAGCTGCTCTTGATTTCATCCTAATTCACCTATTAAAGCTTTTAAAGCTGTTTGGTTTGTTCGTTCTCGAGCCTCCCCAAGCCTTTTTCTTGCAGTAATTTTTCTGAAACAGATTTCCAGTCTATTCTTTACATCTTTTGTTTGTTTTACTCCATAGCAAAACATTTTCCTTGCTTCTTATACTTTCCTTTCAAGAAAGCCGTGTCGTGCTGATGGTGCAGACGCTGTTCATGACCGGAAAGTGTTTAGTGTGTAAGCTAGGATAGGCATATGTGAAATGGATTATGGACATTGTTGTGTCACAGAAATATGCCACAGAGGCTGCGACTTTTGGGAATATTATTAATCCAGGCATGCAGCTGCCTGACTCAACAGTATTGCCTGTTGGGCGAGTTGGAACATGTCAGCACATTGTGTTTATGCCCCCTCGCTTGTCTGTTATCTTGTGTTTGCGCTCAATACCGTTATGTCTCTCAGACATGTCCTTTCTTGTTCAACAATCAGTGCTGTAACATGGCCTTTGCCATTTTCATGGACGTATGTGTTCAAAGAGTGTGTGAAATAGCAAAACAGTATTCAGTTGTAACAGGTGTTTCACAATAATGTGCATCTTGAAATAAACTTACTCTATTATGGCACAAAACAAACTTCCTCCATTCTATTCTGTTATCTTGTTCTGTTGCTAAAAATGACAAATTTTTACTGCAACATTTACGTATTTCAATATGTAGGGTAAATAGGCTAAATTGAAGCTGCTTATGGAATTAAAGGAAAAAATCTTCATTGCACAAGTGAACTTTTATGAGGCCCAGCAACACTTTTGGGCATGGTGAGAAAGTGCTGTCGAACTGTTGTCAAGGGTCGTAAGAACATGCAAGTCAAACATCATACCACACCATGCCTCAATTTTGCCATTAAATTTCGAATTCAGCCAAAAATATCCCTCTTCTCTTGGCAAATGATGCCATAGGTCATAATGATAGTGCCATCAGCACAAAAATTACGACTGTGGGCTGATGTGAGAATTATGCGTTGCATAGTTATCGTGGCCACCATGGGATGCCATTACATGCCATACTGCACTCTTTAGGGCTAATATTACACGCAGTATAGAATTGTTTAGCATGCTTGCAATCACACTGAAAGTAAGCCATGCTTTAAAAAAAAAAAGTTCTCAAGGTCATGACATGCATAAACGCACACAGCTTCTTGTGCCCTTGTCATCACCCTGTGTAGGTTTCGGTGTACTTGTTTGTAGAAAGGTAGGGAGAAAGTGCTCAAGGAGTGCAACAGATTGTTGTATGTTCACTCATAGTTGGATTCTAAAAATTTTACAACAGTCCAATCATGAGGATCACTTGGAAAAGTGCTGCAAGGTCCTTTAACAGCACTAGACAAGATATCAGAAAAAAATAAGATTAATAGCAAGCTGAGCCACCGATTGACCCCTTATTATTAGAAACAGAGGAACAAAGCTGGTGATTGCATAGTAGGGGGTTAAGACAATTAAAATGCTGCTTATCTGCAATAGCATCTAGTTGTAAGAAAAGTTTTGCAACAATGTTGGCACTGAACATCTACCTTAGCAGGAAAAGAAGTGTCTTGGCTTCACGGACTGTTTTCTTTCTCAGAATTCAGAAAAATGTCACATTAGCCATAAATGATATATTTACAATTCACAACATATCTTTTGCCAAAAAAAAAAAAAAACATTGTGCAGATGGTGACAAGACTATGTTTTGAGAAATGTGTGTGGCTGCTATTACTGGCCTTGAAATTTCAGCTTTCAAGCTAAGCTAGCGAAATTCATGCAGAAAGGTATAGTAATTAAACTCCTGCCCTAACAGAGTTGCTGCTGCCTTGCCTGCTGGTTTAATGTGCTAATGCCATACTTACTCTTTTTTTATGTTGTGACCCGACCCAATAAACAGGTCCCCATTGAACCTGGAACATCGTACACCATAATCCTGAGCTGCCTGGCACAGCAGCAAGGGACGGTTCGGATACCATTGGCATTCAAATTCCAGGAGGACACTGAGAGTGAAAGGCTCTTCACCATAATCAGATTCATTGATGCCACTGTCTGGGAGGATGGAGGAGACAGCCTGGAGCCAGTGGAGCCTTACACATTTGTTTTACCGTTGCCCCAGTTGCCGAACGCTGATCGCATCATTCCTGCGAAACGTCCCAAAAGGTTGGTGGCTTCTGCTTGGTCTCTTTTGTACTAACAGAAGGCTTTTTTTGTCAGCCTCTGATTGTTTTTCACTACTGAGCTTGCTTTTAATGATCTGTGTTTGCTTCCTTTTTTTTTCCTGCTAGTGTTTTGACCCGAATGTATTTCGTGGTTCTTGCAGTTACAATTTAGCCTAGCTTATTGTAATGACTAGGCTTGTGTAAATATTCGAACAAATATTACAGTATTCAAATTTAAATTACTGGAAATTTTAAAGTATTTGAAAATAATGAATTGATGTATATTAGACTGCCTGTTACCCCTAGTAAAGGTAGTTTCACTACATTGGAGAGATGCCAAGCCATGAAAATGCCCAATGGACATCCTCCTTACCACAAAGCCACACTACAAGGGTAAATGAACATAATACTACTCTCACATCGATTCATCATATTTTATGTTTAAATTTTTGTCACACGAGTTTATATGCTCCAAGTGTAGTAAATTTTAAAACATGTTTTATGGGTTATCACTTGCATTCTACCGAAATTCAAGTCCTGCTACTATTTAAAGTTGTTTCCACTTTCAGCCAAAAGAATGACATTTACACAGGCTTTGTTGCAATATTCAAAAGATATATTGCATGTTGGTTGGGTCATGATAAATATGTTTGTTTTTCTTCATAAAATGTGATATATACTATTTGAATCCGATTTGAAATTATTCAAGCCAAACCACCATCGATTTCAAATTGTCTTTGAATCTAAAATTCGCTATTGACGCAAGCCTAATAATGACCATGCTTGTATGTCTAGTGCACTGATGTTCTTCACAGGGTGGACATAGCCAGAGCCAAATGCTGCCTTGCAAACTCTTATTGCAGGATAAAGGTGACAAAAAAAATATCTTAGTCGCTATAGTAGTTTTGTTTCCTTATCCCTTCTTTAGGTAGGAAATAATTGGTGTTTTATGAATTTGATTACCATTTCTGTGACAGAATTGTGTACGGATTACCACTGGTTTTTGTACCATATTTGAAAAGCAAATATTTCTAATAGTGCTTGATTTATACTGAATATCGGTTAGAACATATTGTTCAGCTGATTTGTTTATTATGGTGCTGAGCGGGTGTTCTAAAGACATGAAGGACCAGCAAAGTGACAGAGCCTCGTGTGATCGTCTTGAAATTGTCCTTGTGTTGTCGCTTGTTTCTAATGTTTTATGGCGTGTTTACTGTTTGTGGTATGTATGTCTGTAGCATTATTATTATTATGTTATCATTTTTTATAATGAATTATGTAATAAAACTCCACTTAATCACTCAATACAAGAAACTCCATCTTTTCTATCGAACTTATTTATTCGCTTCATCCCCCTGCGTCTTGTCTTGTTTCGACATCTTGTTATTTAAGCTGTAGGCCGCGTGGCTTGCTTCGTTTGCCCCAGCATGGTTTACACCCCTCTCCTGGGATGATACTCGAATGTATTTCCAATATCAGTGGATTCCATGGTGTCATTAGGACCAATGTGCCATATAGTCTTCAGCTGTCCTTGTTGGCTTGCAGTCTTTATAACGCAAAATGGCCCTTTGTAGGCTGCGTTGATACCCAATCCTCTTTTCACCAGCACTAAGTCGCCAACCCCGAGTTCTGGTAATGTTGTATTTTGTCTCTTGTCAAAATTTCTCTTTATTATTTCACGGTACCTTAATGCCTTATTTTCTGATCTTGCCACTTCTTGGAGCTTTATGTTCTTGTCAATTCCAAGGTTTTCTGTTCACAGGCAGATATGTTGGTCTCCCGGTTACAGCAAATAGAGGAGTGCATTCCAGTCCGGTCATGTACGAACAGTTGTGGTGAGCTCTTGCCACTTCTAGATGAAATTTCTGGCCACCTTTAAATGCTGGATACATACTAATGTATTGTTTGATGTCTCTGGTAGCCCGCTCAGCTAGCCCATTTGTGTCGGGATGATAAGGCGTCGTGAGCTGCAACGTTGTTACACTTTTCAGCCCATTTCTGTAGCCGACAACTTCGGAAGACAGGTCTCAGGCAGTTACCTTCACAATGTCGAACATCTTCCTGCTCAAAAAATAAATTACACTGTTAGCGTCTTCTTTGCCCAGCCTTGTGGCGATCATCCGAGTGCACTCGTCAATTGCACAACAGGAAAGGTTGAGTCTTCTGAACTCCTTCAGACTTTTTCTGGAGTTCCGCAAAGTCCAGATGAACTACTTCATATAGGGTGTTAGAATATGCTGGTAAGGCCATTTTCTGCTTTGGTTGGGTGTTTAAATTTCACCTTGTTTATCTGGAATTTGTGACAGGATGAAACATAGGTTGTGTCTTGCTTCATGCGAGGCCTTGTGAAACTTTTTTTCCAGTTTCATGTAGGTTCTCAAAAAGTCATCGTATCCACCTGATTTGGGGCTGTCATGATACAGTTTCAATATTTTTGGAACTAAGAAAGGAAGGCACGGCAATTCTTATGTTCTGTCTGCTGCAGAGCCTCGGTTTCTTCCCATATCCTCAAAACATTAGCTTCTTCGTAAGAGTCTGGCAGCCCAATCGCTAATTGCAGACATTGCATCTGCGTCCTTCACGAAGGCTCCAAGGCGATGACTTACCTCAAGGTCAAATTGCTGAAGTTCCCCCTCCCAGTGGGCTATCTTTCCCTTCAATTCAGCCATCTTTAATATATATGCTAGGGCATCATGGTCTGTATTAAGCTTGAACTTGGGGCCTTCTAAACTATGACTTGAAGTAGTGGACGGCTTTTAAAATGGTTAGAGCTTCTTTTTCTGTCATCGTGTTGTTCAATTCGATTTTGTTGAATGTGTAGCAGTAGTATCCAACTACACGAAGTTGTGGTCGTGAGCAATCTTGCTGATACAAGACGGCTCCAAGCTCCAGAGTGAGATGCATTGGTGTTCAATTCGAAGGCAGCGATAAGTCTGGTAAATGCAGCAATGGATCAGAAGAAATTATGCCGACCAGTTATCTCTAGGCGTTGTCACATTCTTCTGTCCAATAAGAGGGGACACCTGTCTGAGTCAGTCTTGTCAGGCAGCAACTATTTTAAAGCATAATCTTGGATGAAAGCTCGAAAATGACCCGCCTACTCTAGAAATACATGAAGCGGGTGTATACCATAAGGCTTTGTAATACAAGTCACCGATTCCTCTTTCAGGTTTAGTGGTTGTTTCTAATCTTAAATGTGCTCTGGTATATCTAATGGCCCAATACAAAGTCGTGAGCTCGTCAAACCTTCAAGTATGAAACAGCTGTATTCGTTCTTGTGCTGAAGTGTGCCTGTACTGGCAGTGAGGCACTTACCTAAGCTTCATGAAACATTTGTAGCAATGTCATCATGGCTTTCGTTGTTCCTGAATTAGCAGTTACTGCAGCTTGGACAAACCATTGTTCAGTGCCATGCGTAGAACTTGGTGAGGGGCTAAGAAAATCTGAAGTGAATGTGGTGCGTGACGATTGTATGCTTCGATGGTCTCACTTACCCTGTCAATTACAGTGATTGCGTAACAATTCAAGGAAGCCATAGGCATCGTTCGGTCATTGCAATGGATAGTACATTTCTGTTACACCCTTGTCGAATTCTAAGGAATGTTTTTTTTTTTTTTTCATGTGCTCATTGGCATGATAGGGAATGCACATACACAAGCAACTGGATGAATTATATTATCAGGTATCTCTTTGACTTGTGGCTGATTGTCAACAGCCTATTTCTTCAAGAAAACTTGGTAGGATGACCGGCAGACTGGTCGCATGTTTTGATTCATTATGGTCAAGATCCAGTGTTTATTTGTAAGAGTGGTCCACTGAAAAAGCAATACTGTTATATTTTCAACACCTTAAGTTGTGTCATTTGTTTTACTTATGTTGGCATGTACTTTCCCATTGGCGGCGATGGGGAATTTCAAGGCGGCAGCTGTCGTATGACCAAAGGGGAAGATAGGCACCAATGGAAAAGATCAAATATAATTTTCTTCTTTAAAATAAAAATGTAATAAGATTCGCCACATAAAAAGAACTGTTTATTTGCTTTTGATTTATGTATAAAGGTGACTTTTAATTGGACCACCACACGGTGAAAATTGCGTCTCAATATAGATAAAAATGAGGATTTTCTGAAATTTGAGATTTTTTCTCGTAAAGTTTAGCAGCTTGAGAAATTTAAAAGTATTCTTTACTCAAAATATACTTTTTGTGAAGTAAGTATTCACTACTCAGATACTTATACAATGTGCAGTGTTGCAATAGAAAAAATACAACACATTTCTTACACAAGCACCTTTACTTAACATGCAGACCAAATTTGGTATAGAAAGAAAGAGCGGTACTTTTAAAACAAAATTTTCCACAAAAAACACCTGAACGACATTCCAAGAATTTCAAAAGGCAGCCACATGACTAAAACATTTTTTCTCTTAGAAATATTCTACTGTTTCACTGTTTTCAATGCAGTAAATCAGCTGGACTTTTTTTTTTTAAACATTTGAGATGGTCGCCAAAATGGCTGGGACGTTTGGCGTGGAATGACCCAATGACGACATGGCTTGTGCCAGCTTGCATGGGAATCGGGAGATGGATGCAAGAAGAGTCACTTGCATCCCAGTCAGCTTCACTGGCAGTTCATTCTCATATGAATCTTGTTGTCCCACGAATTTTCTTTTTTTTTTGTCAGCTACTTTAATACACCATGATCAGTTAGAATAACAGTGTCGTGTGTTCTTTAGAGGGGCCTTGCAACACTTTGTTCGTGTAGCTGTCAAATGGCTTCACTCAAAGCATTGCTTCACAAATCGACTGCCACAAAAAGTTTTATAATTTGTCAAGTACGAGGGGAAGTACAGGGATTTGTTGCACGCTGCAATGAAATGCCTCGCCACGGGGGTCTAGTGGCTAAGGTACTCGGCTGCTGACCCGCAGGTCGCGGGTTCGAATCCCGGCTGTGGCGGCTGCATTTTCGATGGAGGCAGAAATGTTGTAGGCCCGTGTGCTCAGATTTGGGTGTACATTAAAGAACTCCAGGTGGTCGAAATTTCCGGAGCCCTCCACAACGGCGTCTCTCATAATCATATGGTGGTTTTGGGAGGTTAAACCCAACATATCAATCATATCAATCAATGCACGCTGCAATTGCTTTCCCTCTTGCCCTGAGGAGCATGCTGGGGAGCTAATCTCGCGGGGTCCAATTCATGGACATGTCCATTTTGGCCTCCCCTGATTGGCTGGAGCATGCTGCCTGTCCTCAGTTTTTCTTCCGCAACGTTATTTTGATGCTACGCAGTTTTCACAACTGTGGACTCAAAATAGAAAGACAGAATGCGTTTCGCCACAATGAATGGTGCCGCCAGAGATCCGCTTTTAGGCGCACATCTTTGAGGCTGTGCATGGACTGTGATCACGTTAGCCCTTGAATTAGGTAAACCCAGATGCCCGCCTGACGTCCCTGAAAGGTCTGTGCACATTCTCTGCATCACCCTTCAAACATTTCAACATGTATATACGCACGTTCAGACATGTCACATTTGTTTAAGAGTCCTGTTACTCTACACTTCATCCACTTAGTTTCTTTTTATGCTGGGAATATGCTGGTGCGTTCGGTGCACTGGCCTGTTTGAGAATGCCATGACGTCAGGACTCACCCTTTTTTTGTGTAACTGAACGGGCTCAGGCGAATTGGACATGTCCACGAATTGGGCACTGCGAGAATAGTTACCCTGAAAGCTAAGCATAAAGGGACGGCGCTGATGAAGAGAGCTACATCTTGTGCTTATCATGACCTTAAGCACTTTTAGTTTTTTTACAGCGGAAGCTGTTATCTGATCACAACGGCAGTTGCAGTAGGGTAGTTGTCCGCCACCAGCGCCACCAATGTCCATAACCGCTATCGCGTGAGAGTAGTAAAAAAAAAAATTATATCAGAAAGATTTCGAAGAATGTCGGCCGCTCTTACCGGCAATTATCATCAATCAAGCTGAGCACCTCTAACAGCAGATGAGATTCGTGCTCTCAACTTCGCTTTTCAATATCAAGCAATAGAGGCAGCCTCTCCAACAGGTATCGCTGGGGGTGGCTGTTATTCTTTGCTTCCACCCACCCCTACCTAGCCTTTGGTAAGCAGCCACTTTGTGCTCTTGGCCAAGACTCTTGTGATAGCAATGAGAGTTGAGGACCTTGCTACATTTCAGCGAAAGCTGTAGATCATAACAAGAGCCGATTCATGCAGCCTAGTTATACGCCACTGCCAATGCTGGTGTCTGCAACCGCTTTGCTATTGTGAGAAATAAAAATACAGGTAATTATTAAGAATGCATGTGATTTGAACCTGAAACCTGCTGATTATTCACAGAGCCAAGCTGGTTCTTTAATTTAACACGCTATGCAGCTGTCATGTCGGGCAAGGAACCATGTTGACTTATGAAACATAGCATTGCAGAAGATAAAATAACAGCCAGGCATTACACAATGCGAATGCGCACCGACAGGATTACCCAATGCTTCCAACCCATTATGAAAAGACTTGGACATACTTTTTCACCATCATCAGCCACAGCTACAGATTGCTCATAATGCCTTATATACTTGTAGCGGGTGCCTTGCTGATCCCCAGAATAATGAACAGTGGCACATATGGTGCTTCCCTACTTTCTGAAAGTTACAGGTGGTTTATGGCAGGTTGGGTATCTTGCACGTATACTTCTATTAGTTGCCCCAAGATACCGTAGTCTGCAAACAGGCTCTGGAAAGGAAGTAAAGTGTGGGATTGGGCTAGTTGGTAATACAATAATAAGCTTCTCTGTGCTTGTCCTCATTTCTTGTGTGTTCGTTTTCTGAAATTTTCACGCTGAGAAGTTTAATAATCTGGAATGGATGCTGTTTCAGCTTTCTCCGAGACAGTGCTGCATGTTGTCGGGCCGATGGGCCCTTATCTGTAGCACGCACGGTGGAAGCAGGGTGAGGAGAGCACATGTGCATTGCATATAGCACGGGATGCGAATCAGCATCCAAAAAAGCCACAGGTGGAGGAAAAGTGTCTGGGAGATAAGAAGGGGTGTGAGACGAGCCTGGGGGCTTTTCGGAGGCAGGCTAGTGATGGGACGTGATGTCAGTCGCGCTAAGTGCAATAAGGCTTTTCTCCGTGCTTGCTACAAAGAGGAGACCACCCTGGTTTAGGGGCGTTGGCTAATATGAGTCAATGGCTTGTATTCTACGGCGAGTTGCATGTGAGTTTGATTTCCTGCTTTTACGTTTTGCGCTGGCTTGGCTGCCGTTGTTTCGCTGCGTCTGTTCTATTGATCGCCAGTCTACAAGGATTATTTGTTCTGGGTTTTCGGTTCTCCTGTGTGCGTTAGTGCCTTGTTGAGCCGGTTCGAAAGGCTGTTTGTGGTTATTTTGAGTCGTGCATTAAAGGCTATTCTCGTTCTCTGTGCTGCTGGCTTGTGCACTGCGAACTTTGGATCACTGACCCCTTGAGCGGAGGGGGGGCCTTCACCTGGCGCCCAACGTGGGGTTTCACATGTAGTGGACCTTCCTTTCAGCCCTTCCAATGTGGTTTGCTCAGTTTTCATTCTTTTCATTGCAGTTTGCTTTCGTACTACGAGAACCGCACGCATAAGGCGCTCGTTCAGTCAGCCCATTTCAAACGCATTATTCTTTGCGCATTCCCATGCTCTTGCGTTCCGGACCAATTACAGCTCATGAAGGTGAAAATACAACGAACCTAAAGTCTAATATAAAGCCTGACACTCTTCTGTGCAGGCCTTGAAATGTTTTTTATTTAAATGTGTGACCTATTTCCAGCGTGATCATGAGCGCGTGCGAGCACGTGGTGGCCTCCCGCGGCTGCCTGGGTAACTATGCAGCGAGTGATGCATCAGTCGACTGCCTTGAATTTGGGTACATGGTGCGGTCATTTAGGTATATGGCATCATTTGTAGAAAGAATAGGGAACGATTATTAGCTGACTTTTAAAATTAATTGTAAATTTCAGGCTCTGTGCTGTGCTGCAATGTTTGGCTCGCATGTTCTTAGGAACCTCGACTGCGGATTGGCAGCATTTTCTGATCATGCTGCAAAAGTGTTGCATGACCGCTTCAAGTGCAGTAGCGAGAAATATTTTACAGGATGCTTCTTTGAAAAAATTCTCTTCTTCTTTACTTTTTCCTTTGTTTTACTTTATCAGCAGCAACGTCATTCAGGATCTGGAGCGAAAAAAGCCACTTAGTCAATATTGTGTCGATGACCAGCTTGTGGAGTTCCAGAAGCATGAACTCCGAGAGTGGGAGGGCATGGACGAAGACATGCGTGATCTCCTCATCTATATCAAGTAATTTCGGATGTTTGTTCATTAGTTTTATATTGGGTATGTGAAATAGCTTCTATGAAATTGTGCTAGAAAACTTTTACTCGCTTACTAAAAGCGCGTTTTCTGTTTCTTAGTTTGAGGTTCATATGTTCATGAGAGGTTCACCTGTGTGGCACTAAAGCAGGAAATTGTATTTTTTTAGTGGCTTGTGGCACCTGGAATAAAAGTAGTGTGGGCATTACTGCTAATTTAGAAAAGCAGTCATGGGGGGAGAAAAATGACTAGCATTGCCAATGTACAGCCATCAGCACCTTTGACTCGAACACTCCTATGCATCGCCTCGGCTCACTTGGACTGAGGTCAGTGCCGGCAAGTGTTGAAAATGATATGCTTGCTACTGTTAACAATAGGTGAAGCGTGCGGGTTTCGCTAGTAAACTTCTGTTTCCAGTCTGCCTGACGGGCGGGTCGAATGCACTCACTGGGCATCCCGTTTTCACCACGTTTGGCTCGTGGCTACGCTACCAGCGCTTGCCCATAGCGTTTGTTGTATATTCATCTCGGCAATGAATCGTTGCATGTGACAGCTGGAACACCTTTCGAGTTTGAATTCGCGGCTGCTGCTGAAAAGAAATCACATGTATAAAAAGCAGAGCAAACACACATTCATGATGTTTGTAAAGGTTGCACATTAAATAAATCTGAAATGTGGCAGCATTGTTGATGTTATGATTTCTTAATTTTCAGACAGCGTGCATCGAACTGCTCTCACAATTCAGAGTTGACCTTTCAGTTCAGCAGATTACAGTTGTATTCTCCCAGAAGTGCATCAGTCATACCAGATTTAAAACGAAGCTTTAGCTTACTTCAGCATGTTTATCAAATACTTTTATGCACTGTGATAATAGCAAGAAGTGTATCTGATATGATGCTGCACTTGATTTATGTCAGCGTCCGGCCAATAGCTGCAACTTGCTAAGTGGTGGAATAGAGCAGCCACTGGCAGCTTTGAAGAGAGTTACTTAGGATCTCTGTATGAAGAAAGGCCACTTGAGAAAGTGCAACTTTGTGCTCCGCTTGTAAACTCTGTGCCATGCACAGCTGGAGAATTCGGTTTAGCTGTTTTTAGTAGTGTTTTTGCTGTTTGTAGAAAGTGTTTTGTCACTAAACCTGAGGGGGTGGCTGAGCCACCTTATTAAACATGTTTTCTGTTTATGTGCTCTATTAACATTTATACAAGTGAACAGTCTCATTGTATGGCGATATCATTTGCTTTGCAGAAAACATTTAGATGATCCACTTTCTGAATGCACGTATTGGGGCCGCTTCTCTACTCTGTTATACTTTGAAGAGATCCAGATGCAAATTGACATCCGAAAGTATGACATGCTTGGTGCCCCACTTAATCCTTGTCCCACACAGACTGATTTGTATGTCTTGGAGGTAAGCTCTATGGTCGAGTTTTGCATTGTTATGATTATAATGCTGTTATGTTATTGGTTAATGGGGTCAAGTTCTTTAGCTTAAGACCTGGCTGGATGATTGATTGTATGTATGTATTCCAATAATTACTAAGCACACAGCATGACATGAAAGTAAGGTGGCATGAGTGGGGCAATTTTCGATTGAGTGCAATGAACTCTGAAAATGACAAAGTGGCCATGGTTGTGGTAGTGTACAGTACTTCCATGTGTGAAGAGCATAAGAAAATGGCCCCGCCGCGGTGGTCTAGTTAGTGGCTAAGGTACTCGGCTGCTGACCCGTAGGTCGGGGGATCAAATCCTGGCTGCGGCAGTGCATTTTTGATGGAGGCGAAAATGCTGTAAGCCCGTGTGCTCAGATTTGGGTGCACGTTAAAGAGCCCCGGGTGGTCGAAATCTCCGGAGCCCTCCATCACGGCGCCTCTCATAATCATATGGTGGTTTTGGGACAATAAACCCCCACATATCAATCAAGCATGAGAAAATAGTGTTGGATATGAAAAGGCAGGTGCAAGAAGTAGGTGAGAGAACCAGGTGAGAGAAGCAGTTGAAGGAGTGTTTTCGGGAGTGACGAGAGCAACTGTCAGTCCTTGGCAAGGGTCATTCTTGCGCCCTCAGGTGGACTCCTGATGAGCTCATGCAGCTTCTTGGCTTCATTGTTGGCACCCACCGCAGTTCCCTCCTGAGGGCAAACCAGTGGTGACTTGGTCCACTGTGCTGCTGACCCGAGGCAACAGGCAGAGCCTGTAGAGATGCCCGGTCAGCCGGTCGTTCTGCTCGGTCGTTAAATCAGCCGCCTCTACAGTGACGGTGGAACTGCTTCGTTGGCATCCACCAGAAATAACAAGATGCCTGACCACAATAATGACACATACTGTGACTCCTTGTGTGCAAAGCTCTTAGATATATTGCTTCTAAAGAAGTTTTTTGGCCTTAACCATGTTCTATATAAACCTTTTGTCCTTGTCCATGTCTCGTCCTTGTCTCTTTTTCTGCTCTATGTCTGATTAAATTCTTGCATTTTACTTGCAAAACTACTATAGAATTATCAGGCATGCCATGGGGACTCCAGATCAATTTTAACAACTTGCGTTGTTTTAAAGGGACCCTGCAACAGTTTCTTTAGCATGGCCAGAAAATTCTGCCGATCGGTAGTTGAGGCTTCTGGGAACATGTGTGTAAACATTATAATGAAGGAAGTGGCCTGGAATTCGCAATTATCAAAGTTGGCTAGAAATCACTTGCTTGTCTCTTGAAAATTGATGTCATAAACCCAGATGACTGTGCCATAAACCCACAGTCCACGGCCAATAGCTGGATTATGTATAGGGAGCTACATAGTTACAGTGACCAAAAAAGTGTTAGACAATTTTTTCCTGAACAGATTTGTCGAGAGTATTAAATTCAGCAATAAGAAGCTTCTGGGATGAATTTTGCAAAAACAATTAATTAATCAAAAATCTACCCTCAAAGAGTTAAAATAAAAGCATGTGACAGATCCCCATAACTCCACTTTACTTGCCCTGTTGCAGTGGTCTAGTGGCTAAGGTACTTCGCTAAGGAGACCCGCAGGTCGCGGGATCAAATCCCGGCTGCGAGGGCTGCATTTTCGATGGAGACAAAAATGCTGTAGACCCATGTGCTCATTTGTGTGCACGTTAAAGAACCCCAGGTTGTCGGAATTTTCTAAGCCCTCTACTACGGCATCTCTCATAATCATGTGCTGGTTTGGGGATGTTAAATCACACATACTATCATCAATCCACTTGTACTTGACTGATTCTAGAAAAGTTTGCTGCAATCTATTCGTGAAGGCAATGAACTCATTCAGTGAAGCCATTCGATGATTACTTTGGAAATGTGTTGCAGGCCCCATCAATGTGCATCCAAATCCTAATATACAAGAGTTTTTACATTTTGTCTCTATTGAAATGTGACTGCTGTGACTGAGATAGGACATCTGGTCATTGTCAACTCTGTCACGAATAATGACACCATGCAATGCTTGACCACTGTTTGCAAGGTCTATGTGTCTGCAATGAAAAGCTTTTGAGAGTCCCCAGGAGTTTGTTTGTGCATTCTAGCCTTGCTGCTATTTTTCTTGTCTTAGTGGTTATCACATTCTTATTAATGCCCCACTTTCATGAAAGTGTACAGGCTGATCATATATTTTCTAAGCTATTCTTTTTGCAAGCTGGACCATTCAATTGCATTAAATATTATTTAAAATTGTTGTCCTTGTACTAGGCTAATTAGTGCAGTCATTTAGAAGAGATTTAGTCTTTGTATTGGAAAATCTTGTGCCACTTTTTCCCTGTTGTCATATTTACTACATGAGAGAATTTGGGCATTGTAATGATAACCTCAGAGTTTATCTTTTTTTGCCAAAATAAATTCTTTCATGCAGGTTCCTGGCCTAGTAGAAGGCCGTCCATCTGTGCTAAAAGGGGACAGTATCTTCGTGCGTCTTTCAAGTGCCAAGTGTGAACCATCTAGTCATGAACAGGAAGTGTTGGAGTATGAAGGCTTTGTCTGCGAGGCAAGAAGAGGCTCGCTTCTGATAAGTTTTTGTGGACGGTAAGATACTTATGAGCTTGAGTATAGATTTCAAGTTATTAGATGTTAATGTTCTTGTCGATATTATACTAGGTCTGTCTGTAAAGCTATGAGAGCGGGTCTGCTAAAAAGAATCTATTGATACAATCAGTGCATGTTATTTAATTTCTTCAGTATAGTTTCCTCAAGTGCTGATGCACAGATTACAGTGCAATTTTCATGCTGCAAAGGCTCCCAGAAAGTCTGCTGCCGCGACTTCTTCCAGAGACACACAGCCAGTTGGACGGCAGGAACACTGTTAAAATGACGAGCTTCCTGGCTTCTCATGAACTATCGGAACAGGAAAAACTCTGCTGATCTCACGTTAGGGCTGTATCAGGATTCAATCCTGACTTCTTCCTGTTATAAAGAAAGTTCTTGGCATTTGATTTTCAGGAAGCTTTTACAGCACGAAACTCTTAATGTGATAGGTGTATCGACACCCAAGGCAGCTATGTACAGTTAAACTTCATAAATTTGAACTAGGTTATTTCAAAATCCCACTCAATTTGAAATATTTCTGTGGTTCCGTTTTTTGCAATGTAAGTTTAAAAGGGTAACTATAAGTGTTGGTTAGCGCCAGTATAGTTTATTCAGAAATCAAGTGCCATGTTATGATTCCCGATGCCGATTTGGCCACAAATATGCGGAAACGACGGCTCTTAGGAGACACAAGGCAATGCAGGGTAACGATACCAATGAGGCACTGGTGAAGCACTATGGTGACCCCGCTCCTAACTGCAGCGGACGATCACCGCGGGTTCACGCTTAGCGAGCCACAGGGCCGCTACTTCGTTTACTCGCGTGTAGCGCACCGCTCCGCGCGCGCTCAACTATAAGGCGTTTAGCGCGGCGCGGCAAACAGACAGTGTTCTAATGTAACAGTACACAACACTTTATTGCCTCTGGCGGCACCCCGAACAACAGCACAACGTCCGCTCCCGGGATGCGGGTAGCAAAGGCACCCGCACGCGGACGTTCACAATAAGGGGAAAACCGCGAGCACGTCGCAGCTGGCAATGGCGAGCTTTGACACGCCGGTCGGGAAAAGGTCCCTCGCGGCTATGCTGCGCACTCTCACGATGATGGCCACTGGGCCTGGTCGCGAGTGTTAGGGCAAACCTCGTACGCGCTGGGCCTACGGCAAGTGCGGCTCGTTGTGGTACGACCACTTCAAGCACTAGGCACCGCTGTAGGCTTAGCGTACGCTACCAAAGCTAGCACTCAAGTAAACACGCCTGCCGAGGTGCCCAAGGCCACCCCAGGCAGGCTACAGTCCGGCGATTCCCAAAGGGGACGCGGACGAAGGAAAACACGTGCTTACCCGGCGCCGACCAACGGAGAAGAGAGCGCCCCCTCGGCGCGCGCGTACCGCGCGCCGTGCCCGCACGTGGCGCCATCTATCGCCACGTGGTGTTAACACAGCAGGAAAGCGAAAGGGTGTGGCCGTGTGGCGGAATGCCCGCGAAATGGTCGCAGGCGCGCCTCAGATCCCCACATCCTCCTCTCCTTAATTCACCCTATATACCGGTCTGCAAAGGCAGCCGGTCGTCGCCCATGCATGCAAAGGCGTCATGCAATGGGCAACAGCTAGCTTCAGCCTCGCTCTGCAACTGCTGCTGAAGAAAAAAAATAAACAACACAAGAATACACTTGACAAATACAAGGGCTCCGCGGAAGAGGGGTAACGGAAGTTCATGATGCTCACGCAAGAGCGCGTCCACGGCTCGGAGGGGCAGCGTCACGTAATGTCTGACTTGGGTGATTGCGTGGATGCGAGAGTTCAAGGGGAGGGTTCTGGTTGAGGCCTTCATGCGAGGAACGGGCTCACCTTCGTTTCGTCGATGTTGACGACAGCCCTGCGAGTCCGACGAACGCCGCCTCTGTGGATGTTCGGATGGACCTCGCTGCGACAGCCCGCCCTTCTGCTGGAATAATGGTCGCCAAATCCATTGGCTGCGAGGCGTCCTGCGGCGTCGGTCGAGTCGTGCACAGCGTCTGCGACAGCTGGCCTCGTGCAGGTCTCCGAACACCTCCAGAGTCCAAAGTGGTGTAGGGGTCGGTGGCTTCCTAAGTTGTCGCCACACGCACACACACACACGCACACACACCTCCGATGGTCGGGTCTCTCCAAACGCGCACCGCAAGGGAAGCGCAGAGTGTCATTTGTCCCTCTCCCCACACTAAAGCATCAATTCACAATCCCCTCCTCCAGCGAGAAGAAAAAAAAAAGAAAACACGGAAAAAACATCAAGTAAACAACACTCAAATGACAATCAGCAGCAGTAGCTGGGCGGAACAGACTTCTTTGCAAGCACTGGCTGTAAAGAAGTTAGCTAACTGAGACTAGAAAGTAAAATTGAGGGCCTTCGGTTGCGGAAATAAGCCCGCCGTCCGGCGCGAAATCACTAAGGTGACTGCTTCCTCAGATTATACCGGTGCGTGGTCCGAATGCGGTCCGCCGCACCGGGTGTGCGCCGTTGCTTGCACGAAGAGCCACTGGGCGCTGGCGCAGGCTCGTCAGACCTTGACGCAAAGGCTTTCAGGTCTGCGATATGGGCACGGCTGAGTTTTCCCGAAAGCGGGTCTTTCAGCAAGTACGCGAGTGGAGTCCAAGCTTTTTCCACTCGGTACGGACCAAGCCACTTTGGAGCGAGCGAAGTTGAGAAACCCTTGCTCGCGTCGCTAAGAGCGTGGTTGCGCTTCAGGACGAGGTCACCCACCTTAAATGAAAGGTGGCGACGTTTTCGGTCGTACTGGGCCTTTTGCTCGGCCCTGGCCGATGCCAAACTTTGCCTCGCTCTACTGAGAGCTCGACAAAGCCTGTCCCGAAGTGTGGAAGCGTAAGCAGAACAGTCTGCCGGTTCTTCCTCGTCTCCGAGCTGGCATTGCATGACACTGGTCACCGGATTTGCCAACTCCCTTCCGAAATTAAGGAAGGCGGGAGAGAAACCAGTAGAGCGACTCTCGGAGGTTCGGATTGCAAACGCGAGTTCACTCAAATGGTCTGCCCAGTCCCTTTGACTTTCGGCAAAGGCCGCCAACATCGGTTTGAGCGTACGATTGGTTCGCTCCGTCAAATTGGACTGGGGATGGTAGGGCGAAGTGGTGCAGTGATCTATTCCTAGGGAACGGCACGTATTACCAAACACCCGAGCGGTGAAATACGACGCATTGTCCGTGATCAATCTTTTCGAAAAGCCGAACCGACAAAACACTTCCTGTAGCCTCTCTAGCACCGCTCGCGCTGTCACTTTCCGCAGCGGAAACAGCTCCACCCATTTGGAAAAATGATCAACAACTACCATCAGATGTATGAACCCCTGCTTACTCCTGGGGAACGGCCCCATTAGATCGCAGGTGGCTACTTGCCACGGACGCTCACTGACAATCGGTTTCATCAAGCCGGGCGGCTTGCCACCCCTTGATTTCACCGTTTGAGAGACGTGGCAGGAACGGCAATAGCGAAAAATGTCACGCTTCATGCCAAGCCAAGTCACAACCTTGCTCAGTTTCGCAAAAACTTTGGAGCCACTCAGGTGACCAGCAATGGGCTCGTCGTGAGAGGCTCGCAACAGTGCGCCTCTCAGACTTTGGGGCACAACCACCTTAAACGGGTCCACTGACTCCTCATTGGTGGCTATGTATTTCAGCAGGAGTCCATCATGGTCCAGCAAGTATGTATCCGCGGGGGACCCAGCGACACACGCCGGTTCCCGTCCCCCTGCGCCCGCCGCACTACCAGCAGCGTCTCGGCGCTCCGTCTCCCTGAGACCGTCGCTCAACTCGCGACAAAACGGATCATCTTGCTGGGCCTTCAGTAACTCTTGTCTGCTGAAAGCGATTCCCATTCTCCCAAAGGGGAGCTTGGTATCGTTCCCACTCAGGACTGCAGCCATCGCCTCCGCTCGCATTGGCGTCACGGGTTCGCTTCCCTTTCGCTCCCCCTCTCGCCCGCTTCGCGGCGCGCTGCTTGCCTGGCCCGTGGAAAGGGTTTGCTCATCGCCGCACTCAGCCTTTTCTCCACTCGGCGGCTCCGCCGCCGTTTCGCCCGCGCCGCTTGCTTGCGCAAAGGCACCGCTAGCGGTTGTCGCACCGGGATCCAGGCTCCTGGTCGACACTGGGGCACGAGATAGCGCGTCAGCTACCACGTTAGTGCTCCCCTTCCGATACTGCACTGAAAAGTCGTAATGCTGTATTAGGAGAGCCCAGCGCGCTAGCCTGCCTGCAGGCTCACGGAGCCGCATCAGCCAGCTAAGCGCGCTGTGATCTGTTTGCACCACAAATTTCGTCCCATCCAGGTAGACATCAAACTTCCCCAGTGCAAACACGATGGCGAGACACTCCCTCTCGGTCACGGAATAATTCCTTTCCGCGGGTATCAACGAGCGGCTGGCAAAGGCCAGCGGCTGCAACACACCATCGTATTCCTGTAGGAGAACTGCTCCTAATCCCAGATCGCTTGCGTCAGTCTGGACAACAAACGGTCTGGTCAGGTCGGGGAGCTTGAGCTGCGCTGTCTCCGCAATGGCGCTAAACAGACGGCAAAACGCCTCTTGCTGCTCAGGTTTCCATCGCCACTCAGCTGACTTACCCAGGAGCTTGGTCAAGGGCGCCTGCACACGGGCACAGGACAGAATGAACGACCGGTAAAAATTGGCCATTCCGAGAAAGCGGCGCAGGCCGCGTACGTCCTTGGGCGCGGGAAAATCGAGGATTGCTCGAAGTTTCTCCCGATCTGGCTCAATGGAGCCTTCGCCCAGCGTGAAGCCAAGTAACTGAACTCGGATTTGCGCTAGTTGGGCCTTTGCGGGATTTAACGTCATCCCGGCGGCTCTCACCCTCCCGAGCACATCGGCAATGTGGGCCAAGTGCTCTTCGAAGGTTCGTGAATAAATCACGATGTCGTCGAGGTAGCACATGCAGTAAGACCACTTTGCTTCCCCGAGGACGCGGTCCATGAGTCTCTGAAAAGTCGCAGG